ATTTCCCACATTTCTTTTGTATCACCCTTGTCATAATTTTTACCCTACTTAGTTGTGATTAGTCACTTGTTTCCTTACATTGATAACTCCAGGACAGAGATACCTTCTTGAAGTATTCATCTGCTATCTTCCATGCCCACCACAGTGTTGGGACATAGTAGGTACTCAGGGAATACTGACTCAGTCAATGAATGAATCCGAGTTTTAAAGAGCAGCCCTGCAAGGAGCAGAGACCCTTGCCAACCCATCTGCTCTGGCACATACTAAGACTTGCTGCAGCGTGCAGCTGACATACACTTCCTTCAGGCTCTACAGTCGGATTGCCCCGGCAGTTCCAGTGCAGCCACGTTCTGGCCACGTGACCTTGGATAAGTTTCTCTCTCTAAGCCTAAATTCTTTATCTGTAATAATAATAATAACAATAATAATATTTTCCCCATAAAGCTGTTGAGGGGGTTTGATGAAATAATCTATGTAAAGGGTTTCTCAGAGGTCCTGGAATACAGTAAAGCACTAGCTATAATTGCTACTATTATTTGGCTTTTAGCCACACATTCTTAATATACCTTAAAAAAGAGAAAAATATTAGAAGATAGTAATCTTAGAAAAGAAAGAGTAATCTTACAAACAGTAGGATTTTGTTGGATTTCCCTACACTTACATTATGGTTTAGGATTGGCTTTATTTTGTTCTGTGTATGAGATGGAGAATAACACTTACCTGTTCATTATTTAGGGTCTTCTTAGGTTCGAAATGAGTTCCAGTTCTGTCCTCTCCACTCACACAGTCTAGGAATTTATAACTCAGTGAAACTGATCTTCTTGTACTTGCAAATACTGGTGTGTGTGTGTGTGTGTGTGTGTGTGTGTGGTGTGAGTGAGAGAGAGGAGGGAGGACAGAGAAAAGAGAGAGAAAGAGAGAACAACCTTTTCCTTGGGTCTCAAATGCCTTTTCCTACCTTAGGAGATTTCTACTTTGGTAAGAATTGACTCATTGGCTCAAAAAACACCTCCTGAACAGTTTCCTTAATTCTTCCCTGCTACTCCTGCTTTTACAATTTTTACCATAAAACCATTTACGTACCTGGACTGTTCTGATCCTCCTGTATTGCATGTCCCCATTAAACTGTGAGCTCCTTGGAAGCAGATCTTCATCTTTTGTATCTGACACATTCCGATATTCAATAAACATTTGTTGAATTGATTTGAATTACAAGAAAAACACCAGATCTCTTTGGAAAGACACAAATGATGAAGGGGTTTGTGATGTGAATCTGTGATGTGCTCAAAAAAACAAAGCAGAAGCGAATAAGCTAGAAGTCCAATATTCTGCTTTTAATTGGAATATAACACTTATAAAGAAAACTGCCTAAAATATTAGTGTACTGCACAATGAATTATCACAAAACGAACACTTGACCACCAATCAAGTTAAGAAACGCTCCTCTCAAGCATCTGTCTTTACATTTTCTTTTATATCAGAAACATTAGCTGAGCCTTTAGAGGTTAAATTTTTCCTCTGGGAAATAAGTAATTGTCACACCGTTTTTTTCTGGGCAGGAGAATGTCAGTCAGTCACTTACCTCCATCTTTTTTCACTGCCATGTGTTTTAAAAAATTCTTTCATCTTAAAGAAACACACACATTCAGCAGGCCACTTCTATGCCTCTGTGAGTCATTCCTGGGCCTCCCGCTTCCTCCTTAGTCTCCTCTTACTGTGCTCTCTGTTCCCATATTCTAACTGAAACATGTCATCCTGGTACTGTGAGTCCTCTGACCTCTCTTCTTCTAACCCCTCCACTATTACATACTTTTAAAAATCTCCAACAGGAATTGAGGTTTTGATGTGCACTTAACATAAGATCCAAGTGTGAGTTACTTATTTAATGCAGATTGTAATGACTGACGGGAGATCATACATTAATATGGTTCAACAACATAGTAGAAGAGATGACAAATTCAGAGAAAATGATTTACTTTCCTGGGTGTCAGGCAAAAGAACATGAAGAAACTGAAACTGCTGGGGACCTCATATGGGTTAATAGCAAGAGTTGACTGGGTGTGCATATGCCACAGTGATATAAACAGCTCTACTACAGAAAGTTTTAAAGGGTACAATTAACTGAAAATGCTATTTATTTGTCAGTCTAGAAGGAAGAAAATTAATAATCAAAAGACCAGACTACTTCTCTGGAAATGTCTCATTTCTTTATGTGTCATTGTATATTAGCTTTCTCTTTTTTATTATTCTTAACGGCTCTTTCCATTTCTTGTCAATCTTATGTCATTTAAAGAATTGGTATTTGCTGAGATTTGTGATTATAAGACCTTGCATGGAAGGAATTAAAGTGCTTCTCTTAAATCTTAATGAGATGCCTGTAATTATGTTCTGAACTTAAAGAAATTGCACTGTTATGTATATTTGAGCTATTATATGTAAGAGATAAAAGACTGAACTGGGAAATTCAGTGCTGAGAACACATGGTGACTACAATTAATAAGAATAAATTCTGGGATCTGACAGTGTTCATATAATTTAACAATAGTTCAGTAAAGTGCTACAATAAATTATTCCTCCCCAATTGGTAGATATGAAAGGTGATACCGCTACAAAACCCCACGAAGAATATCTGTATTGTATCTATTCATATTAGTGTCTCCCTGACCGAGAACTTCAAGGAAGAAACTGAGTCTTATTTACATCCACAGCACAAGAACGATGCCTAAAACAGGTGTTTCAAGCTTCCTGAACTAAAAATCTCTATGACAGTCTCAGCTTTTCTCCCTTTCTGGCTACTTGAAACAGCCAGAAGACTTTTGCTTCAAAAGAGAAATGTCTTTGAAATCTCACCTTTCTTCACCATTCCGAATCCTATGCTCAAGTCTATGCCCTCAAGGTCAATTGCACTGGCCTCCTCCCTCGTCCCAAGGCTTCTCTCCACTGTGGCTACCAGTCTATCTTCCTCACCGCCATAAGAGAGAGCTTTCTACATAGCAAGGTCTTCCTGCAGAAGCAGCTTTTTAAGTATCAACTATATGCTCAGTACCATGTCAAGCATTTGAAATACACCATCTTCTTTAATACTCTCAAAATTACTACAGTTATTACTACATGAGGAAATTAAGGGTGCTTGAGTAATTTGTTCTAGGAAACACGGCCATTAAGCACTGGAGCTCGTATTTAAGGTTCCTCTGTCTGACACTAGCTGTCTTCACTCATTTGCTGGTCATGTTATATTACAGCTTAAACAATCACTACTTGAAAAAGTTTTACTACTGGCTGCCACTTACAGAATATAAACTCTTTCTTAACCCACTTCAAGCCCCCCGTGCCTCTGCACCTGTAGTCCTGTGGGCTGCAGCAGGTCTGGGCTTCTCACAGCTCAGACTTGCAGGTGGTTCCACACTCCGAGCCTTTGCGTGTGCTTGTTTCTGTTTCCCATCTTTGCCTGGTACATTCCCAATCAGACTTCAAGACTCAACTTATCTAAAAGTCAATTGCTCAGAGACTTCCCCAGCCTTCTGGGTGCTCTACCCTATTGACCATGTAAATGTAGCAATATGTTCCGCATCACATTACGACCCAAAAGAGAGAGGGAGGGAGAGATCTTATTTGTGTCGTTGGTTCTCTCACTGCAAGATATTCAAAGCTATAGGCTCCGTGTTTATTTAAATTGGTATCTGTCTTAGTTCGTTCAGGCTGCTATAACAAAAATACCATAGACTAGGTGGCGTGAGCAACAGACATTTATTTCTCTCACTTCTGGAAGCTCTGACATCCAAGATCAAGGTGCCCGCTGAATCGGGGGCTGATGATAGCCCTCTCCCTAGTTTCCAGATGGCTGCATTCTTGCTGTGTCTCCACATGGCCAGGGAAAGGGAAAGACCATCTTCCTTCTGTCTCTTCTTATAAAGGCACTTACACATTCAGGAGGGCTCCAGCCTCATGACTTATTGTGCCCCCAACGTCTCCACCTCCAAATACCCTCACAGCAAGGATTAGGCTTCAACACATGATTTGGAGAGGAGGATAAACTTTTGAGTCCACAGCAGTACCTCTGACACATACATGGTTTAGTATTTTTGCTGAAGAAGGGTAGAAGAATTAAATGCTGGTACTAGAAAAATGAAATCTTGGTCCTTTTTTTCTTTACCCCCATAAAGCAGCTTTGAAACAAGCTACTTGATGAAAACTATGTGCTTACTTAGTTTTCAAAATATGATTGCTTCAATAGGCATTTAGTAAAATCATTAAGAAGACACAATTAGCAAAGAATGAAAGCTATTCTAAATCTCAATAAACAACGCAACAATAACAATGGCTAACATTAACGTAATTGCTCAATTATGATAGAATCGTTCTATTTGCTTTCATGAGCAAATTCATTTACTCCTTACAACAATCCTATTAAGTAGTTATTACTATGGTGAGCACCCTTTTGAAACTGAGGAAATTAAAGCACAGGAAGATTTCTCCATGAACACACTGAGCTAGTAAGGGCACAGCTAGGATTTGAATGCATGTATGTAGGCTGATTCCAGAACTATGTTCTTAACCTCCATCCTATATGAATAAAAAGCAGATGACAGAGTGACCTTTACAGAAAGATGAACTTTTCCCATCTGTTCTGATTCATAGGGGAAAAATTCAAATCAGAAAGACTATATACAAATTAACCAATAAGGCTATTTAAGACTAAGCTAGGTCATAGAAAAATCTATGTTTCTATAGGATGCAGTTAAGGAAGGCAAGTAAGGCTTAAATTATAAGAATTAAATTGAAAGAATTTACCATGAACACCAAGGGAGCCTGTACATACTATATGGTGAACACTATGGAACAAGCTTTAGGGATATAAAAGATCTGTAAAATATGATTCCTGCCCCAAAGAACACTATTATTGTAAAAGATGTGACTCTCACACACAAAGTAATTACAGTAGTTGTAGATAATAAAACCTTAAATTTGGTGGTACAGGCAATAAATGCAATACATACATGTTAAATAGTCAAGTTTTTATTTTTTAAAGTAATTTTGGAAATTAAACTGGGAATACTTTTTCTCAAATGCTTCCAGAATCATCCCCCCATCAAGGCATTCAAAATATTTTTTATCAGGTAGAGATTATATGTTTTATCAAATTAAAGTAACAACTTGTATGTTAATAATATGTATGTAAATAAAATGGCTAGTACTATAAAATTCCATAGAAATTAAGCTTAAGAGATAAAGAACAAATCTGAAACACACTGTCCTAGACTGAATTTTTATTTAAAAAGAAAACAAGCTTTGTTTCATAGTATGAGTAAAATGGAATAGCATTAGGAAAACTACCTCAGGAAGTCAGAACACAATATAAATCAGTCAAACTTTCCATACCTTTCTAGTTGCAGGAAATCTTAAAATATCACTCCATTCTGCCTGTGTGTACAGCAAAAGCAGTTTCTGAGGCATTCAAAATATTTTTTATCAGGTAGAGATTATATGTTTTATCAAATTAAAGTAACAACTTGTATGTTAACCTTCTTTAAACATTTCATTTCAAAGAAGCAGAGTACATTATAAAAGACATAGGAAGTCTTACCAAAATGGAATAAAAGGAGAAAACTACAAGAAAAATAAATAATTGAAGGGAATAAAAGGAAACAAGATATTTCCTGGCCATTTAGTAGTAAAAAGTTTCAAGCTTGTTGAAATGATAATTAACTACAAAATCAGAACTGTGTAGTAGATCTGCCAGCGTGATTCTGGAAGTGTTAGGAGCAGTGGACCTTAAGGACCAAAGGAGAAAGAGAAACAGAGGCAGTCTTGAGTATATAAGATAGAGGATATTTTGGCCAAAAATATTCTGGAACTTAGTTCTTGAACTAAGTGAGAAGTTCAGAGATGTTCTGGCTTAATTATGGGGCAGCCAGATAGTTTGGGATGATTTGCTTGATTAAGCATCTAAAAGGTCAGTGCAGGCATGAGGTCCTCAATGTCTTGAGAAAGTGCTAAAAAAACTCTGTCATTGATTAGACCCCTAGGAGTTAATCTTATTTCCTGCCTTAATTATTAAGGTGTTATCTTTGTATATTATTTTATGGTTGAACATGCATTATAATTATTCTTATTTTTTTAATAGGGATATATTTATATCTCTATAAATTTGTGTTTATTTCTAAATATCCCCCAAATAAATTGTTGTAGCTTCTTTCCAGGGTCACTATCGTCAAATCTTGCTTCTCTGTATCTACTCTCCTGAATTCGGTCTGGTTTGTGACAGCTGTGTCTAATAGAATATAGTGAAAGTGATGTGCATGACTTCCAGCACTAGATCCCTAGCCTGGAGCCCTCTGCTTGTCTCCAGGAATGCTTGCACCTTAAGCTGTCATGCTGTGTGAAGCCCAAGCCAGACTTGTAGAGCGGCCACCTGGAGAGAAGAGAGAGGAACGCCCCACCTGTCCCCAGAATTCCAGACATCCCAGCCCAGGAGGGAGACATGTGAGTAAAGGAACTTTCAGAAGACTCCAGCCTCAGCTGTCAACTGACTGCAACCATTTGAGGGACTCCAACTTAGAACTGTCCAGCTTTGTCTGTTAACCCCTAGAGAAGTGAAACATAATAAAATTATTTCAAGCTTCTGAGTTTTGGGGTGGTTTGTTAATAGAACATTAAATAACTGGAACATGTAATTAACATTTAAAGACAGATATAACACTGTATGCATTCACTTAGTACAAAATTCAGCCCCATTCTGTCATTCTCAAATGTAACTAATTCTACATGTCTGTCATATACTTAACTGAACAATACCATAATACTGTACTTATTTCATTGGGTACACAAGTTGTTGCATTTTGTTAAAATTTTTAAGGGCCATAAATATCATATGATAAGAGATATATATATACATGAGTATAATCTATAAGTTTATATTAAGGACAAATGGTTATACATTCTTCTTAAAAAGCAGACTTGATTTTTTAAAGCCATTTTAGGTTCACAGCAAAAGTGAGCAGAAAATACAGAGCATTCCCACAGCCTCTATGTCCCTCCCTATGCAGAGGAGTCCCCCACTACCAACGGATGAACCTATACTGGCACATGATTATCACCCAAGATCCATAGTTATGTTATGATCACTCTTGGTATAGTATGGTCTATGGGTATTGACAAATGTATAATGACATGTGTCAACCATCAGAGTATGACACAGAATAGTTTCATTGGCCTACAGATCCTCTGTGCTCTTGTCTGTCCAACCCTGCCTCCCTCCAATCCTTGGCAACCACTGATCTTTCACTGTCCCCACAGTTTCGCCTTTGCCAGAATGTCATATACTGCAGCTGGAATTGAAGAGTATGCAGTCTTTTCAAATCGGCTTCTTTCTCATGCATTTAAGGTTTGTCTGTGTTTCCTCATGACTTGATAATATATGCTTTTTGAAAGAATACTCTGTCATATTTTCTTACCTCTCACTTATTCCTTAATCCTTTTAAATTTAGTTTGCTTTCTCACTTCGCTATGGAACCGCATGTTCTACAGGTCATAAATGACTTCCTAGTCACAAAATGCAAAGCCTCTCCTGCAACACTGAATACTGCTGCACGCTATTTCCTTCAACTCTCGCCTATGGCTTCTGAGAATGTTCTTTTTCTTCTCTTCAATCTTTCTCTTCTCATTCCTTTCATATTACCTTCCTACACAGTCTTCAAGGGTAAATATTCCCTAAAATGCTGCCCTTGGCTTTCTATACACTCCATTACCATCTCAACATCTCTTTCTCTCACATCCATATTATCTCCTACCTAAAATATCCAAGAATAATCTTTGATACTCTCTCTTGCTTCCTACATTCAGCCAGCTACCCAAACCTGTCAACTCTCCCTCCCTGTTATATCTTGCAATTGTCCCTTCTTTCCATTTCTTTTGTTGCTTTTCTAGTTAAGGACCATATTAACTCTTGTTTAGTTAATGGCAATAGGGCTGTAGCCAATATAGCTTTGCCTTACACCTGTTTCCTTCTGGCCCATTTTATTTAGTTCTGCTAGATCAGTTTTCCTCAACTACCTTGCTGATTAATACCTACTTCAGTGTCATTTGAAGTATAAATGTGTGTTATTATTTTACTAACAACAATGCTAGAATAATTAATGATGTTATAAAACTTTCATTTTTATCATGATCATCAATAATTTATAAGCATAATATAGTTGAACAAGTTAGCATCTAATCAAAATATATTGGATACAAGGACATATTAAGTTGAATATCAAAAGACAGTGACTTAAATAACACAAAGAAGAATATTATATCTCTTTTGAGCCAACAAATATTCACAAAATTTTGAATTATAACACAAGGTAGAATACTACATGTTATATAATACTTCTAATCTTTATAAAAGTACTTGTGTACTGGCATAAGTATACAAGTACCTGTGTATTATTTAAATTCAATAAAATGTTATTTTATTCAATTCAGACAATGAATATGAGAAAGTCCTATTTGGTATTATTCATATATTGAGAGGATATTCTACATAGCAAAATTTTACTCTTTTTAAAATTTCCTCAGAATATAGAAGAAGCAAACTCATGTACAATATATGCAAATCATCTTTGAGCCAAAATAAACCACATATAAATAAAAGTTGAAGGAAATAGAGAAGCACCAAGTATTTAAAAATACACTTTAAAAATGTTGAATGATTTTATGACTAATTTGAGTTTAAGTACAGGGAGGACACAAATTTAAATTACAATCTTGCTAAAAATTTGTCCTTTCTGTAGTTGATGAAGACTATTAGAGATTTACCCCAAGTATAATTTCCAGGTATAAAGTTTCTTCTGGAAAACATAGCTATGAAAACCTTGTTTTCTTGACTGTATTTTGTCTTACACAAAAAGGTTAATGTTAAGATTGGATGTTACTTCAGCTTCTTGTGCCTCAGACATTTTGGAATGAAGAACCAACCAGCAATAACTTTTAATAAACAGCAGGGTGGACAGGGGATGAATGTAATTATACTTCTGCTTTACTTAGCTGCAGAGAGATTTCTGGGTCTCAGTCAACTAGTAACATAGTGAATTTGAATGTAAGACCACTAATAGAAGGGAAATCAGAAAAGAAAACTATCATGCAGTTGTTTTCAACTCTGAAACAAACAAGATTGTCTGTTGTCAACTTCTTTCCCATTTATGGTCTGTGCATCTCAGAGGAGAAACTGAGGACTGTAGCTCCCAGAATCTCCTCCCATAGATGATTCCAGAGCCTGCCAGCAACAGGCACTTATGTGATACTGGAAAGGGGAGGGGCAGAAACTATAATTCTTCCAGGACAGTGACGGATTGACAAGTAGGCCAACAGCAGACATGAGGTCCACAGCAGCTTCTGAAGGAGTTCCTGCAAATTGCTTTGGTCCCAAAGATTATTGAGATGACTTCTGGTGACTGTTTGAGAATTATTTGTTTTGGTGCTGTAAACTTATATAGCTGGTAGAAGCTTCCTGGAGATTCTTCAGAGAAACAGAGGCTTCCAAGAAAGTTCTCAGAGCCAGCCGCCATGGCAATGCAAACTGAGCTTACTGACAACAGCTTCCATGATGTCTAATTTCCCAACCCTTCCAGTCGTTGTGGAAACCTTTAATTCCCATATTAAAGCCCTTCTTATTTAGTCTACATAGAGTAGCTTCTGTTTTTCTACATTCAATTGAACTTTGTTTAATCCATTGTGGAGGTTACTATGCATTGTCCACACTGTTTTGATAGGTTATTCAAAATTTACTATGCCTTGTAATATACTAATATACTAATTATTAGCCAAAACCAACAAAATGTATTGCATATGAGAGACTTTTAAACCCTGTCTTGTACTTATATAACATGTTCAAACATGATGGAATAGGAGCTATAACATTCAAAAAGGGTATTTGAACAAAAGGAAGTCTTAAAATATTAACATAGCAGGCCTTACAAAACCAAATACTGGCTTGCTTTCAGAGAAAGCTGGAATCTGCTGGAATCATCTGCTGGAATCTCCTAAAGAAATAACCAAACAGGTATGTCTTAAAAGCATAAATGGCTCTTAGGTAATATGTGCTAAATATTCTCCTTTCTTCTACTACAGATGTAAACTCTTTAATTTTCTTGATCTGTATTGTAAAGTGCTTTCTGGATAGACTCTAGTAAGCCATACTCCTACTAGCATTGTTGGGTATGCCCATTACTCTATAACCTTGTCTATATTATGAAATTTTTTAACTTTTTAACTAGTAAGATTTCACAGCATTTAAAGAAAGTTGTATCCCTTGGCTTTTGAGTTATCTGACATGCATATTAGTCTTATCTGGGTAAGAAAACAAATCTAAAACCCAGGAAACATGATATTATTTTTGGTTCTATGTGGATTTTTCCATCTGGCCAATTATTTATGCTTTTAGTTAAAAAAAGGAATAAAATAAATGACTGTTAGCCCTGATTCTTCTTTCTCAAAGTAGTACATTTAAAAAATAGATCATGAGGAAAGTCAATACATTTAAATATATTTAAATGAAAACAAGTATTTATTTCCTTATTCCTTGATTCAGTATTTGTTGAGGCTCGGCAGGTCTAAGGAACCTGGGCTGATTGCAGAGACCTCACACTATGATGGGGACACTGACTAAGCAAACAGGTGACAGTGCAGCTCCATCTTCTTTATCCAGAGCACGTGAGCCACAAGTGTTTCCAAATCAACACTATTTGTGGATTTTTGAAAAAGTAAGATGATATGTTACATTTAAAATATAACAAAATAAAATCTACAAAATCTCCTATAAACAAATACAGCAACATTTATGTATTAAACCAAACACTCTAAATAACCTTATGTCAGTTCAGGTCAGGTTGTGCTGCCAAGTAAGTTTGGTTTGGCACCAATCATAAAAATAAACTTTTGGTTGTCAGACTTTTTTCGATTTTGGAATTGCAGATAAGGGATTGTGGACATGAAAAATGGTGTCAAACAAAGTATGACAGAGGGAAGAACAGGGCACTATGGGAATATATATGTTTGGCACCTACCTGGGGCTGGCAGGGAGAAGCATTGGTAGAGAGAAAATGGAAGGTGGCTCATAGGGGCCAACTTACTGTATTATTGTTCCAGGGAGCTGTGAGGCTAAGGAAGAGATTATTGCCTGATGGTGACCTTTGAGAGTCTGCTTTTGAGTTTTTTTACTTTATTGTTGTGTTACAAACTGTCACATACTTCTTAATGCTATGTTACAATGTTAACGATGAAAAACTATTATCTGGTCTATTCAATTCCCCTACTGATAAAATAAAAAATACTGCAAACAACACGTTAAATAGTTATGTCTTCATTTAAACAATCAACTATTTCTGGCATGTCTAAACTATAGTTTAAGGTTATTATACTTTCTTACACTGTTCAGTTGGTCTCTCTGGCCTCAGCCAAGCTCTGTCCTAGTCCTCCATACAGAGTGGATTATCTCACTCCCATGCCCAAAAACCTTTAATAGCTTTCCTTTGAGAAAAAAAAATCTGTATCTCTCTCTCTACATATATATATGATACACAGACCAAGAATGAGACAGCAACTTGCACACACACTTGGGTAGGAGCTCAGATACAAGGCAGATTTAGGAGGAGCTCAAATACAAGGCAGCTTTATGAGGACTGCAAACTGGATGGATGGTCAAGGGCAGGAGGGGCAAGCAGGACAACACTGAAGCTCAGGAGAGATATATGAAACCATATGAGCTAGGCCAGCCAAGAGCTTACGCTGAAGATGCCCCCTGGAACTGAGTGTATGGAGAGCAAATTTAGAACTAGAATCCCTTTAACATGGGCCTAAAATATCTTACGTGTGAAATATTTGTATGTGAACTTCCAAAGTTTGTTTTGTTTAGTATTTTTAACATTCCTTTTTTTCCAAGCTTGTACAAATTCTTTGCACTATTTTTCAAGGTGGACTTTACTAAACAAAGACAGATCCAGGACCTGATCATGTTACACATTAATTAATCAAAAATATCCATTGAGAATCTATTCAAAAAGTGACCAGCACATAAGAGAAATCTTGAAGGTAGTCATTAGAAAATAAAATCAGGGGCATTTGAACCAATATGGTTTTATTATACTGTCTTATCATCTTACTGAATATAAAAAATATTTTTTAAAAATCCTAGAATCTATAAAACAGTTGAATAGATGTACCTTTAAAATATTAAAAGCTTTAGGGCCTTCCTTGGTTTCCACACTGCAGTGTATTTACATACATGAAATAAAACATCAGCTATTCATTTGTCCTAGTTGGAACAAAGTTAGGGCACTGAACATAAAAACCTCAGTAATGGTCACTTGAATTATATTATGATTAAGCAAACCAGAAGAACTTGGATAAACATGAAAAATACAAAGTCTCTTTCATTTCTTGCCCCTTACCTCAAACTCCAATATGAGAGCAAGGACAGAAAGAAAGCCTGCAGTGTCACTTGCCCATTTTCCTTCCTATACACCCTAAAAGATGGTGGACCCTAATACTGCTGGAGTCTCTTTATGGCCTCCCATCCTTAAATAAAATGTTCACCTAATTGGGAATTTATTTTAGTGAATTAAAAAAATTTTTTTCCATATGAAACCTAATTTTCCTCTGGTAAGGATGACATAAACCATTGATGATGAGTATTTAGAGGATATGGAGGAATTAAATTCCTTTGTGCAAACACGGACTGCACTCCCTGAAATACCCTTCTCTGCAGATTCTTACAGCCCTGCAAGGTAGCTTTAAAGACCAGGAAATAAGGCTCAGAGATGGAACTATTAGTCAACATGGGAGTCCCAGTTGACACAAGGCCCAGTCAAAACCAGAATCCAGATTCCTGCCTCCCAGCACAGTATGCTTTCATAACATGTAGAGGGGGGGAATTCATTTTCTCAAACACATTATTCATACATTCCCTTAATGCATTCATTCAAATGCATATTTATTAAGTAGTGATGTAGTCTCTCATAGTACCTATTAGATGTCAGGCACTGCACAGGAATATGGCAGTAAACAAGTCATACCACAATTCCTGATCTTAGGGGCTACATTTAAGTGGAGAAGACAGAAAATAAACAGAAGGAAATAAAACATACAATGTCACATGATGGAAGTACTATGAGGAAAAATGGAGCAAGAAGGGAGCCAAAGCGTATAAGCAAAGGGAGACAGTAAGTTTAAATAGATTGGTCAGAGTAACCACACTGAGGAAGTGACATTTGAACAAAGACTTGAAGGAGCGGACATAGTGGATATGTGAAGATCTATCAGAAGAGCATTCTGGGAAGGGAAATGGGTGCAAAAGCCCTGATATGGCAGTGGGTCCAGCACGTTCAAGGAAAAGCAAGGAGTAGTGTGGCTGGAGCAGAGTGGACAAGGCAGAGTACAGAAGATCAGGCCTGCGTAGGGCCTGTCTGGTTTTTACTCGAAGTGAGGTCAGAAACCTGTGGAGAGTTTTGAGCAGAAGAGTAATGGGATGCGAATTGCGTTATAACCGCGTCATGTTGGCTGCCCTTTGAGAATACTCCAGAGGTGCAAAGGTGGAAGCACGAGGAGGTGAGGAATTTCCCACAACAATCAAGGTGAGATGTGGGAGAGGCCAGAGTGACAGGGGAGAAAGTGTTGATAAGTGGTTAATTCTGGATAGATCTTGAAGATGAGCTTAACAGATTTCTTGATTATTTGGATTGTAGGTATGAGAAAGGAGAGGAATTAAGGATGACTCCACAGTTTTTTGCTGAGCAACTACATGAAGAAATTGCCATTTGCTGCAGTGGGGAAGGTTGTGGGAGCAACAGGTTTATAGAAAGACCAGGGAGGTTGGGGATTTTAGACATGCTGAGTTTGAGACATCATCTAAAACAACCAGGCAGAGGTCTAGTAGTCATTAGGATATGTAGGTCTGGAGTTCAGGAAGGAGGTCTGAACTGGAGAAATAAATTTGGGAGGTCAGTAGCATATATTCGATATTCAAACTCCAAGACTGGAAAAGGCCACCAGGTGAGCGATTAAGGCCAGAGGCCAGAGGACTGAGTCCTGGAGCATTCCAATATTTATAGATTAGAAAAATGAGAAAGAGCAATCATGGAATGCAAGATTAACTATTTCAAATACTACTGATTATTCAACAAAGGACTGAAAACTGGACACTGCATTTAACAATGTCAATGCCATTGGTCACTTAATCAAGTGCAGGGGCAGTAGAGAGGGGTGAGAGAGAGCAAATAGTCAGTTCCTATTTGCTAGTCAGTACTTTCCATGACATTTTTATGTGCTTGTTAAGTATAAAAAAGCTTTAGTAATTATAGCAGTAACTTCATTGAGGGCCTCGTATATTATAGGTCCTGTGCTATGCACTTTACACATTAAAAAAGAACTGTTGCTTGGAACAAAATGTTGGTCCCAAATGAGGAAAATGATAGATAAAGAGATTAAGTAACTTTCTCAAAGTCTTGTGTGTGGTAAGAGGCAGAGCTGGAGTCTGAAGTTAGGTCTGTTTTACCTGGAGCCTTCATTCTTAATCACCGTGCTACATTGCTTTAAAATATTACATAGACACATTATGTAGCCAATTACATTTTAAATAGCCCTGCAAGAGTGATTCTTTCCCGAGGTTAAATACTAGCTTGGAGGTGTTAAAAAATGAAATTCAACTGAGTAAATTTTAAAGATCTTATTGGCTTTATTCAGTGATTCATGAATTGGGCAGCATCCCATCTATAGTGAGTATAAAGGAGCTCCAAAAATCTGTACAAAATGAAGACTTACAGGCAGCAGTGGACAGGACAAGGAACTCACTAGCAAAGAGTGGGTTGTTTCAGGCAAAGTCACCTTCCTTAGGGGATTGCAGGGGTCTATCATGCAGATTACCTCACTAGTACTGACCATGTAATTCCAAATCAGTTTAAGGTTCCACTCCTGGGAGAGGTTGAAACTGTATCTAAATTAGGTATTAAGTCTTGGTTTGGTGATGTGGGCCTAGGGAATGTGACTCCATTTTCAGCTTTTTTGTCCCTTTTTTAACAGAAGAAAGAATGCAGTAAGGAACAAAGATCCCCTGTCCATGCTGGTCAAGGTATTTTTAATCTCTGGCAGGCACAACAGGCAGACCCAGGCAAGGCTGTGCATCATTTCAGCTGTTAGCCAGCTCATAGCAGGTCACCATTCATGAAGCCCTGTTCAATATGAAATGGCTTGCTAAACCCATTTTGGCAATATTTCTAAATTCAAATAATAGCTTGCATTGGGAAGAAATTCAGCCCTATGAGCATTAATGAAAAAGGAGAACTGAGGAATGTCTATAAACCCAGTAAGACAAATACAAGGAAAGAGAGTAGATTTTCCTTATCTGGCCATCTATTCTATTTGTGTGAAAGGCAGTGGTACTACAACTCAGAAGAGAGGGTTTATGGTAAACTGGGAAGGACAAATCTCATATTATCCTGTACATTTACTCCCTTTCCACACCCTTCATTTAATTTTGATTGGTATTTTAATTTACCCTCAGATTCAGCTATCGAGCACTCTGGTTTGAGCTGGGAGGAATAAGACCAAAGTAACATCAAATAGAATTGTGATGGAACTCCATATAGCTAACTGAGTATCACAATTGTTTCTGTTCTGAAAGCCTGAGTTTTATCATTCTGTTACAGTGTGGCTCAGTACCTAAGGAAGAAAAGTATTAAAGTATCAAATAGATCTTCATTAGGAACTATTGCAGAAAATTACCTCAGCAGGCTTCATATTTTTTTGTGTTTGGTAGGAAGGTAAAAAAACACTGCAGTTCAATATTATAATCACGTATTAGAACAAGAAAGCTGGAAGAGTTAAGCAATAATAAATAATTATAAATAAAGTAATCTTACAAATTAGGTCATGTATGTGGAATCCTTTTGAGAGTTCTGAAGAGTTTACAAGCATGAGGTAGTGTTACCAGATAAACGAAACCAAGGGATATCACGGCTACAGCATAGAAACTACTGACCAGGCACTTACTTTCAGTTTTCTGGAAATAAAAATGTGCCGTGAAAATACTTGCATTTGTAAAACATTTCTCATTCTTCTGAAAAAGTCACGCTAGTGCAAGGAAAGATATTATTACAGTATAAAATAAAATAAAATATCACAATAGTGCAAACTGACCATGAGGCCCTCAATTCTTTTTCTCAAAGATAACCAGAGTTTCTAGTTTCTTACATAACCTTCCATACATATTTTACAAATATAATGATTCACAATTATTACCTGTATCTCTGGAATAAAAATAATTGGTTCTTACCTGAAAATTTTCCTTTACTCTTTTACATTTTGTGGATGTTGGCAATGACCCCATTCTGAAAAATAAATAGCACTAATTTTTTCTCTAAAAATATTCAAGCAATTCATAAATATTTAAACATTTAAGTTTCACATTCATCTTGAAAAATTCACTTTACAATTTCCCAAGGCAATTATCCTGACTTCGTTAGAGACCAGAACTGTAGGATGAGTATTTTCCCAAACAAAATCCCTGAATGTTCATTGTTTAGTGTTCTTCCACTCACTGCATTTAGTGGGAAATCACAACAGTGAGAGACTAGTGCTGATTAATTTAACAGTGGGTCTTGATGGAACCCGCTTTCCTGTATACACATAAAAGAAATTGTTAGGTGACTTGCCTTTGATTTCTAAGTCTTTCTTTTTTATGTAGTCCTTAAATATTTTATGAATCCAGGGAACATTTCAATACCAACCTGAAATACACAAGCTGGGAGAGGAGAAGAAAAATCAAGTTCCCTGGTATTTTGAATATGAAGCTTGAACCTGAGGCACAGAAATACATTGTACTATACCTACCATTTCGTCTCTTCTTTAGGTGTCATGGATGTTTCCCTGGCTTGCTCGGATGCTCCAGCAGGTGCAAATCTGAGCAGGAGTTTTTTCATACTTCTTTGCCAGCTGGAGAAACTTTGGATGACTCAGGACCTCCCCTCTGGGTAACAGTCTGTCGTCTTCAAACATGTTTATTTTTTAACAATAATCTGGTAGCTTCTGAGGTCTCTGGAAAGGATGAAATGTAATCTGCTAGTGACTAGGGGAAGGGGAGAGGGATCCTTGAAATATAAAGATTTGCTGTGTTTGTAAGTTATCAATTTTAAAATTTAATGTAAGAGAGAGAAAAACATGACTATTCTGATTAGTTAAAATAACAGATTACATTTACACACAGCTGAGGTATTTCAGGAAAATGTGCACAGAGCCCTCTGACATAGGACTTCCTCTACTCCAATGTCCCTGCAAGATGCCTATTGACCTCATTCCTGAACTTTTTTTTAACAAGAAAATGAAACTGTTTCTCACCAAAAACGTTTTGCTATAAAGCTACAAATGAAAACTCAACCATCAATGTACATAAAATGTACACACAGTGAATTAAACTTAAGAAAATTTCCCAAAATATTCATATAGATAATTTGGGACCAGGTAGACAAAACAATAGCTAATTGAATTTTTTTTCCTTTTTGCCTATTTGTTTTTGGTCATGGAAAGACATAGGCAGAGTTTGGCTGACCATGAGTCATTCATTCATTCTCTACAGCTACTCTTAAGAATTTACCCATACAGAGTGTGCTAAAATAAAAAAGTTCAAATTGACATTAGAAATTATGCTGTAGGTGATAGCATTGTCACTGGAGAAAAGGACTTCTGGGATTCTGTAAAATAGTCTGGAGAAAAAGAAGAACTGAAAAATGGGATGAGATGGAGTTTGTCAGATATATGATACAGGATGAAAAAAGAGCCTGTATTCAAACAAACATAAAACACAATATGAAACAACTTACAATAAATGAAAGAGAAAAAAAGACATGGTCATACCTGAATTAAGATCTCTACTTCTTGATGCTTACATGTATATCAAATCTTGCACTTAAATATGCTAGAAAACTAAATAACTGGTTGGCTTCTGCATAGCTCTACACCAAAGATAGTGTACAGTGCAAAGGGAAAAGTTCACAATTACTGTTTCCTTTCTTTTATAGAATACAGCTCATTGCTTTTCACTTCCCAGGAGAAAAAAATACCAGATTTGTGAGGGCTTTATCCCCCTCACCACATCCCTAGACCCAGTTTAGGCTTTAATCCCCATCCCTTCAAAGAGTATAGCAGTCAATTCATTTCAAAGCGCTGGACTGGTGCTGATGAGAACAGGGCCAAAATTTTAAAAAAGAGATTAATTATACTGAGAAATGTCCATTGTAACTGCTGCAGAAACACTGAACCAACCAGCCAGCAAATTTTGAAGCTGCCTATTGCTGTTTACAGGAAATTGTACAAAGCACAGGACTGGAACAGAAGGGAATAGAGTATACATCATAAACTTTGAAGATAAAATATTTTCTGTGTAAATTAAGGACCCTCAAGGAAAATCGTAATTAAGACATTCACATGTATATGCTTCACACACAAACTAAACCTACTTGAAACTTTATTTTAAAATAATTATAAAACCTTTTGTGGCAATTACCAGTGTTCTATTCCTCTAAAAGAGAGATACGCTATATGTTATAACCATGACAGCAAAGACCATTGTTCCAAAGATTTAACCGCTAAACACTTTGTTTAAAAACTTCTGAAAATAATTACATCAGCATACGGACTCTGGAAAATTTCTTCTACCGTAATAAGTCTAGATGGACATTTCCTGTTTCACATTTCTAGTACACGTTGTCTTTTAGACAATAACAGTGTGAAACAATAGTTTGGCATGAGTTCCTGCATACTAAGAAATGCCCTGGGCCCTTGAAGGCTAGGATGAGTCAGGCTCAAATGGCAAAGAGAATAAGATTCAAGAAGCTGACACATTTCTGACTTCAATCTTTGATGTTTTGTGACCAATAAAGAACTCTTATGTTTAACATTTACAGATAGCATTTAGGGGTGTCTGCATAACCTGGCTTTTAAAAAAAATGTTTTCAAGGTAAAACTGCAATACAGAAAAAGAATGACTAGGCAATTTCTCTTAAATTGTTACCCAGGTCTGGCCATTGCTTCTACTCGACCTCCTGCTCTGGGCAGTCAATTCAGGTGAGAATGAGTGCTTCCCTGCCACCCCCTGGCCCATCTTTGAAACCCCCTGGGAATCCTTATCCTATTCAGGGCCTTATTACTACTTTAAATACCATGAGACAGAGACAGCCAGGTGCTCCTAAACTTGGCAGTTAATGCATTCATCTTCTTTGATAACAGATTGGGACCCTCAGCACATGCTGGTGTCCAAGCAACCTGCGTCAATTTGAGAATATTTGGGCCAGTCATTTCCAATGACAGCTCTCATCTCTAATCTTCTGCCATGCAGTTAAGAAAAACAGGTGAAGAGAGCATTCCAAAATAAAGGCAGAATATGTAGAAGGGACCAATGGCAGAATATGTAACAATGGGACCAGCATGCAGAGTTAGGAGGGCAGAATCTGAGATGAGAAGTTACAAAGCAGAAGGAATGACAATGGGAAGGAAGGGTAGGCAACTGGGAGGAGTGCTACTTTTCAGCCGGTGCCAGAGAATTACAGAGATGAGAAAGCTGGAAGTTATCCTTGATCAACCCTTCTCTTTCACTCTGCATACAACCAGTCATCAAGTCCTCCTCATTTTTTACTCTGAGGGATACAAACGTGCTGTCTTCCTTTTCCCCCAAATAATAAAGTTTTATTTGCTTAAAAATTGTAAGTAATACATGTCTATGTTTAAATTCAAAAAAGGTAGAAAGATAATGGGAAAAATAAACATCATCTCCAACCTACTGTCTAGAAATAAGCACTGTTTTAACATTTTGTTGAAAAGTCTGATATATACTTCTATGTACATACATACACATTACTGCACACACATACAGACAATTTCACAGTTAGTGAGGCAAGGCATATAAGGAATTTGGTAATCTTCTGTTTTCACTTAATAATAGGTCTTGGGTTTCTTTCTATTCAATAGAGACATGCAATCATTTTTAATGGCTGCATGATATTCCATTGAGGGGATGTGTCATGGTTTAATGAAACTTCCATTGAAGGAAGTTATTGTTTGATTCAATTTTTATTATAATTACAGTGCTGATACTAATGCTTTATACTTATATATGTGCTGTCAAAAGAGCTTCTATTAATCTGATAATGAAAATCAACTATTGTCTTTTTTATTTCCACATTTTTTATCTTTGGTAGGGTTTTAGCATTTTGTAGCATTTAGCATTTTGTACCATTTTGAAGGTTTTAGCATTTTGTATTCTTTGACAAGTTGCTGGGTCCATTTTTCTATTAGAATGTGTATTTCTTTTTCGAGTCATAAGACCTGTTTGTATATTAGGGATGGTGACCCTCCTATCTTTCATATTCATATGTCACACATTTTTTTTCAGTTTATCCTTTGCTTTTCAAACTTAATTTTATGATGTTTTTGCTGAAGCAGTTAATTTTTACATAGTCAAATTTATCAACAATTTATTTTTTGGTTTAGCCTTGCTGATTTAATCTCCTAACATTCTTATTAGCACTAACCTAAATTAGATCCTTTTACCCAGATTACTATAACAATCTGAATTCTTTTCCCAACTTGCTGTCTCCTGGAATCACTCCACCCAGCTGTCAGCATTCTTTTTAAAATGAAAATCTAGGCAGGTCATTCTTCTGCCTAAGACTGTTCAGTGATGTGTGTCCCAAGTTGGGTATTTGTATGCCTCTATTAGAAGCCCAGAAAATAACAGCTAACATGGCAAATATTCCTGGGGCATTATTTATTTGTGAATATTTTTGAAGAAAGATATTTTTTTTAATTTAAAAAAAAATATATTTTTTTATTTTAAGAAAAGCATAAATGCAATATATAGCAGGATGCAGAATTCAAATAAATTTTTAAGATAAACTAGAAAGCTTCAAAAAAAATATCAGTATTTAGGTAGGAATACTTAAAAAGCAATGAAGATGGAAGACAAAGTTTAAGTTCCTTAACATGTGTAGCAGGGAGTACCTTGCATTCACCAAAGCCTATGCCTTTCCCTCCTGATCACACAGACTTTCCAGCCTCCCTGGAAGTTAGGAGTGACCATGTGATTGAATTCTGGCCTGTGGAATATAGGAGAAATTAGGGTGATCAGATGATCTATTGTCAAACCAAGACACTGATAGGAATGAAAGAAGACACTATTAATTGTTGCCCTGGGAATTCAGGCATACATTGGAGCATATGATCACCACGAGGAGAAGTAAAGTGGGCCCCCGCCAAGGGTGGGCTCAGGCTTAACTCCGCCCATCTCTTTTCCAGTCTACAGGCAGATGCAGAAGATGCCACCAGAAGCCTCAATGTGCCAGTAGAGCCAGAGGATGGAAAGCTTGTGCTAACTGTTCTGGAAGTGAGAACACCACTTCTAGCATTTCAAACCAGTGTTGGTGACAGGAGTTCTTTATTCTCACTAGTACAACACAGAGCCCAAGGCTTTCCATGCCATGACCTTTCCTGACTCTCCCGCCTTACCTTTCATCACTCTCTAACTTGAGTGAAAGCTGTAGCAAACTGAAATGCTTGCTCATACATTTTAAAATACCTGTTTATGTGTCAATCTCTCCCACTTGTCAGGGAGTTCATCAATGGCAAAAATTTAGCCTTAATTATCTCTATAGCACTCATTACTTGGTACATAAGAGATTTCATATATACCTGTTGAATGAAGAAACATTTAGCCAAGTAAGAAGTAAATCTTTCAACAGTGGCTAATTCATTCCCATAATAAACACGATCAGAACTGTAGCACATAGAAGAACTTATATCTGCAAAGATATACAAATTCAAGATCTTGGAAAACTGAGTTACACATTTTTATAGCCCTAAAATATGAATGTGAAAATATTCTTCCTCTTAGCTGTCAATGTTCCTTTATCTTTACCTCCTTCCCACCACAGATGTAAGCATACACACCTTCTGGGGAAATATTTAACTTAATTAACAATAGTAGAATAAGTTTGAGGGAAAAGAAAGAAATAAGATTTTAAGTTCAGTTCCTAATGCTGGCCAGT